TTAAGCTTCTTCACCATGTGTTGTGACACAAAATTTCCTGAACTTCCACTATCAATCATTAAGGTACAAAAGTTTCCTTCAACAGTGCAGGTAGTTCTAAAGATGTTTCTTCTACGCCACTTATCTTCCTTTTCAGTTTGAGTCGTTAAAACTTGGCGAATTACTAACAATTGTTCTCCTTAATCACCTTCTAAGACAAAATTTTCCAACTCAGCTTCAGTTTCAAATTTTGTTTCGTTCTCTTCCTCTTCCTCTTCCTCTGTTTCCTTTTCATTTTCTATGAAGTTATTTCGTGGAGGGTTATTTTTTCTGCAAGTAGCCGACAAATGAACATATAAACCACATTTGTAACAAGGCCCAATTAGTTTTGATTGTTCAGTAGGTTTAGATCCCATTACCCCTTTACCTTTCTCCTGATTTTGACCTTCAATAGCTTTAATTTTCACTCCCGAAGTTCCTGTAGAAGTTTGAGATTGAAGCTTAGTTCCGCCAGTTTGTCATTGCTTATATGTTTCCGTTATTTTTGTTGTTTCCCCGCAAATGTTATTTTTCAACTCTCAAGGCCATGTGATAAGCTTCATCTAATTTAATGACTTGATGCAAGTTAAGTTGATCCTGAATTGTCCATTTTAACCCATTAAGATATCTTGTTATGGCTTTCTATTCAGACTCATCCAAATCGTTTCTAGCTTGCAATTTATAAAAAATTTCAATGTATTCTTCCACAGTTTGATTACCTTGACGTAAATTGTTAAATTCCTGAAAGATGGTTCTTGAATGATCAGAAGACAGAAATTTTTCTTTCAATCTTTTCTTTCATCATATCCCAAGTTTGAATTTTTTCTTTGTCTCGCCTTAATCTGTTGTTTTGTAAGTTTTTCCACCAAGTTAATGCATGCCCCATTAGTTTTAAACTTGCGAATTTGACTTTTCGATTATCCGGAATTTCTTTCCATTCAAAAAATTGATCCATTTTCTCTACCCATTCAATGAATTGTTCAGGTTGTAATTTTTCTTCAAAATTATGGACATCAATTTTAATTCCGTAATCCCAATTTCTTTGTCGCCTATTTTGATTTCTAGGTTCTTCCTCCTCACTTTTAAAAGTTTGAACACTATGATTAATATTAGCTTGATTGACATTTAGATTAGCAATTGCTTCAGCTACCGTGTTGATTTGTTGTTACAAATTATTCAATTGTTGCATCATTTGTTGCCAATCCTCTTGATCATTAGCCATTTGTTAAACACAAAAGAGAAAGACTCCTACCAACCAAAAAAAGGCGAACTTGCTCTGATACCAAGTTGATGTAAGCACATTAGTTAGAAAAGCCAAAACAAGAGAACAATGAACAGAACTTAACCAGGCTTGATTCAAATAGTAGCAATCATCTATATCATCCAAAATCTTACGAAGAAAACTAGAAGAGAATTCAAAGAAAATAAAACAACGCTATTCTCAGACAACCGTCAGAGAGGGTTCCTCACATGCATCGAAATGTAGGTTAAATAAAATAAGTGCTTAGGGCTAGCAAACCGATGCTCCACCACTACAACATTGTCCAATTGGTCGATCCAAACTCTTCCAAATCAGCCAACAAACATCACCAAAGCTCAAGAAGAATGATAAAGATGGAGTGGAACTTGCAGAGAGACGAAAGAGGTTAGAAGCCAAGACGAAGGGTGAAAAGAGCTCGCAAGATTTCCCAAGAGATAGAAGAAAAAGAGATGGAACAAGCTCGCAAGCTTTTCCAATAACCCGCAGGTCAATAACAAAATGCTCTCAATATTCAACTACTCCTTCACAAAACATCTTATATTTATAGGTAAAAAAGAGGAATACAAACAGCCACCTTAATGAATCTTCACAAGAACCCAAGCATCATAAGTCACGGAATTCCCCAAGCATTTCACGGAAAACAACCCAGCCAGGGAACCGAAGAAGCAGCCACGGGAACCAAAGAGGCCCGCACAGAACCGAGGCGCCAAAAGACACGGAAAGGCCCCCAGCTCGGAAAACCAGCAACCAGCCAGAAAAATAAGGGGCCATGGCACGGAAATCATCCAGCACAGAAGCCCAAAAAACAGCCACGGAATCGCAAGGGACAAGGGTTTATTTTAAAGAAGAAAAGGGACAAGACCACTCCAATAATGAATCCAACTTATGAGCTTACCTTTAGAACATTAATGAGCTACTAAACTTCAGCTCATCATTAATGAGCTAGCAACTAAGAAAATGAGCTCATCTCCAATGAACCAACCTCCTCCACACATCACCATAGGCTCCAAAACCGTGGACCATAAGCCAACCCATGAACCAGCAGCATCCAAGGACCAATCGAGCCAGCAAACCAAAGGTCTACCAAGCCCCAAGCACTACCTACCATGATCATTGGATGCTTTCCTATCATTGGATAGCTAAAAAAAAGAAAAGAACATAAAAACATACTAATGTTCAATATAAAATAAAAATAAAGAATATTTGATAGCATCAAATGGTGGATCCAATTTAGTGATTCCACCCCTGAGTTACAGAGTTTTGCAATTAGAGTTTTGGGCCTCACTTGTTCTTCCTCTGGGTGTGCGTGAAACTGAAGCACATATAGTCAAGTGCAAACGAAGAGAAAATTTGATTTTTAACATTCAGAATGAACTCCCTTGTGTATATTAAGCACAATAAGAGATTGAGAGATAAGAGATTGAGGAACAAGGTGTTGAAGGATGATGAGAACCCTTTGGTGTGTGATGTGTGTCATCCATCTGATAATAAGTGGTTCATAGATGATGAGACATATTTATCATTATCAGACCTGCAGATAAAGGATCTAAGTGTAGATGTCTTGAGGGGCGAAACAGATCAAGCGGGCACATCCACTAGTACCACACAACACACATCCACTAGTACTGCAGCATAACAAGCAAACAAATATACTCAAAATTTCTTATCTGCTATTACATTTAAAATATATGTAATTAACAGTACACTAATCATTCTTATTGAACAGGAAAGATAAAAATGGGTAAAATTGAAGATGATGAAGATTTGACATTCATAAATATAATTGGAGATGAAGATGTCTCCCTTGAAGACCTATTTAATGATGGGACATGATTGGATTTTAGATGTTCTTTCTTATTTGTACTTTGGGAGTTTTGATAGACTTCAATTTGTGGTTTTGTACTTTGAATTATGCTATGAGTGCATATATTTCATCTATTTTATTGTTTTCCACTAAGTTCACTTCTAATTTAGATGTTTTTATGGTATCATAGACTCTTACTATTATTTACTTACTAGAATACTTAAATTCTCATTTACGCAATTCTTCGTCCGTGAGGCTTACGCCTCGTCTCACGGACAAAAAATGACTCGAGGCTTATTTACACAAATTTAAACTTTGATCATAGGGCAAACAAAATAAAACATAAAATTCCATATTACATAAGACAAAATAAAAAAAATTAAGAACATTCGAATCATAAAACATATGCTGATTAAAATATTTAATGTTTAATAATATAAAAACAAATTAATATTTAATGTTTAAAATCAATAATAAATGATTAAAATATTTAAAAAATCCCACCGAGGTTCGCGAACCGGCTCGAGCTCATTTATAATAGGATGAGCTCGAGTTCGAGCATGCTTTCTGACTAATGAGCTAAGCTCAATAGTGCCTAAACTCGACTCGACTCGACTCATTTACACCCGTATAAACCACACAAGATAAACAAACCCTGCGTGCAAACACAAGGAGGAAGCTAATTCGATAAACGTGATTCCACATTCGCAACAATCATAGGCAATGAATGAAAGAGAGCACCATTGTTAAGCACCAATACATTCCCTTATATGTAAATATAATACAAAAACAAGGAGAAGACTATCTATAACTCAAAAAAGCAAGCTCACAACAATAATTCAAAGCTTACAATGTACAGCCAGTCCAAAAAATACTCCAAGGACTGAACCAACCAAATTGAGGTCCTAATAGATGCTTAAAACAATACCATCATGCCTACACATCCAACACACCCAAATTATAGTCTACCTTCCTACGTTGGGCCGAACTCTCTTATAATACCTCTTTTCATACAACCATTAAGATGTCTCCATATCAAGCACTCTAAAGATATGAAAGCTGACTAGACTCAGGTTAATTTGTATTATGAGATGAGTACCAAGCGAAGGTATGTGAACTATTATTATGAAAATATTTTTGGTTGGTTAATTGCTTTGTAAGTATACCTTATGATATAAAGGAAAGATTTTAAGGAATGTGATAAAAATATTAAATTTGATAGGATTTTGAGCCATGAATATTATAAATTAAATTATTTTCTCTGCTGCACCATGCAATTGTCGAAAGGGGGTAATGTGGGGTGTGATAAAGACAGACTAAGTTTGCCATCAGACAAGAGTTGATACCTCCCCTGAATCAAGGCCTAGTGTTTACCATTCTGATATTTTAAAAACAAAATAGTTTTCAATACCAAAAAACAGTGTTATCTGGAATGCAACTTTCCTTATCACCATATTATGCATTATATCCTACAATTTATGTAGCATAATCAACAGCATTACAAGAATTAGATAAAAGCAATATACGTATGACCCAAGCATGATTTACCTTTGATATACATACTCAATATCATCAGCACTCAACTCTATCAGCAAATTTGTGTTAAGGACTTCAGATATTCCAACAGAAAATGAATGTGATCCTGCATTCTACATAGTCACCGTAAAAACGATACTTCCTTCAGCAATCAATATTGATGTCAAAAGGAAAACAATAGAACTGACATAACTGGATGCTGGTTTATCCTTTCAAATCTTCCCTCAATCACATATTGAGGAGGATAGTTCCTGCTTATCCGGTTCTTGTCAGCCTGACAAGATAAAAGAATCATAATTATAAGTTATGGAAAAAACATACATGGATAAGCAGAAACGTCTCAACTGTTGCAGCACATAAAATCAGGTTTATAATTTACTTCAAGCATTTTTATTTAATTAGGAATTTATGCTTTATTTTAATTTAAATTAGGTTTACTTATCCTTTTGGATAATATTTAGTTTGAATTTAAATTATTTAGAATTTGAAACCATTAAGTTTGACTTCTATTTAATTGATCTTATTCTTGTAACCAAGTCTAAATGTCAATTAATAGATATTTCTAGTTGTATTCTGATCAATTGAATGATAATTAAAAATTCAATTATTTTCTTATTTATTCTTCCCTTCCCTCCGTTGATCATTCTCTCCTAATATCTAATACCACTTCTTTTTAACCTAATCTACATCATTTCGTATCGGAGATGAAAGAATCCTATTGTTTGCAATCTTACTTTTTTCATTTACATCCTCCATTCATCGACAACCAATCACAAAAAATAAGCTCTATTTGCCTCATCACTATACACAAGCCGCAAGCATTAATTCTTATGATATCTAGAACCAATCACTTATCTAGGTTTTCTGACTTCATCTGCATGCGCATTGATGTCATTCGCCTTAACCGATCAACACCCTCCCTAATCCTGCAAGGCTTGCAATGCTACAATTGCAATCAATCCCACAGCCACTATTAGTAATCATTTCCAATAGTCACCCCCATACCTCTCGGGTGTAATTTGTGATATTGTTGCTCACTACCCACATGTGTTCTTTGCCCTCACTCTACTTAGCCTAGCCATAAGCTCAGCCAAATCACACATTGCTTCACATGTCTTCTCAAGATCCACATCATTAACAAAGACTGTTTGATTTTATTTCATGTTATCACTTATCTATGACTGATTATATTTACAGGAGCAAATGTCATAAAAATAGTTATGATCTAACATGCTATAAAGAGAAAAAAAATTACTAAGTTTAATCAAAGCAAAATAAATTAAAAAATAAAATTTGAGGGACAAATAGCAAAATTGCAATTTCAAATTCAGGAGTTGATGTCCAAATTAGGCCATGAACGAGATTTATGGGGTTGAAATAAAAGAAACCTCCCAACATTCTCCATCTAATTTTTTTCACCTGTTTCTCTATATGGTCAACAACTCTTTAAGGAAAATTTTAAGGGAATAATCCCTTTATTTAAGTTGTGACTATCCATAATTTGAATGGAAATAAAAAATTTAGGACTAGGTTTTCAGAATTAATACTTCTAGTTGGAATTACTGATAAACATGAATTGACTCCTATTTTTTCATGAATAGGAGGCACTGGGATATAACAATCAAGCTCTCTGTCCCTCTCTTTCTCTCGCTCAGGCCCTCGCCGGGCAATGTTTGAGGCATTCCAAGGTTGTTAAAAGCTCTAAAGGGTAGGGTTATTGAGAGTAAGGTTGACGACTCTGTTCTCTCTATCCCCTTGTTTGTTTAGATTAGAGAAAGCTCATACTGCACAACAAAATCACTATTCGCATGCCCAACAATTTAACAACATGTTCCACAAGTTAACAACACAATCCCGATTCCTGACCAATTCATTAAATGATGAATTAAAAATTGATTCCTCTTCTTATGTACAATTTTCTCTTTTCCTTCATATAATCTCTCTCTACTAATCCCAATTCTTCTTCTAGCTACCCTAGCTACAATACTAACATTAAGTATTAAAGGTTTCCTCTATAAAACTTTATAAAAAAAAATCAACATCACATATCTACCTTTAAGTTAATTGTAGTAGAGATATTCCAATACAAATTTAAGAGAAATAAGCATCACCACCACAACAACAACATCAAGCCTTTTTCCCACTATGTGGGGTTGGCTACATGAATCATTCTTCTCCATTGTGTCATGTTAAGAGTCAATTTCTCATTTAAATCTAATAAAGAAAGGTCATTTCTAATATTTTCTAAGCAAGTCTTTTTAAATCTACCTTTACCTTTCTTAACATAAGCCAAATCTAAAACATCTACTCTCCTAACCAGATCATCAGAAGGCCGCTATTTTATGTGACCAAACCATGCAAGGCGACTCTCTCTAATCTTATCTACCTGTGGAGCTACTCCAACCTTTTCACGTATATGCTCGTTTCGTATTTTGTCTCTAAGAGTAAAGCCACTCATCCACTTGAGCATCCTCATCTCTGTAACACTTAACTTAATATTATGCTTCTCTTTTAATGGCCAACATTTTGCGCCATAAAGCATTGCAAGTCTCAACACCATCTTATATAACTTTTCCTTCAGTTTGAGGGGTACTTTTCTATCACACAAGCCCGATGCATTCCTCCACTTCAACCATCCAACTTGAATTCAACTAATAATATCCGCATATATTTTACCATCATTATGAATAATAGATCCAAGGTATCTAAAATGTGCACTCTTATTAATGACTTGATCACCCAAAGTCACAACACTCCACTAGATCTACTCAAACGAAAATCTTTAGCCTCTAAGGTTTGCCTCTATAATTCAAGTTTACCTTTAACTCCCTCTCTAGTCTTATCATCAAGAAGAATATCATCGGCAAAAAGCATACACCTGGATACATCCTCTTGCAAATATCTAGTAAGAACATCCATGACTAAAGCAAAAAGATATGGGCTTAAGGCTAATCCTAGATGAAATTTGACTGAAATAGGAAAATACTTGGTCAAACTACGTTGTGGTTAACACAAGTAACAACTCCTGCATAGATATCCTTAATGACTTGAATATAAGCATTATTAAACGCTTTCTTTTCTAGAACTCTCCATAACACTTATATTGAAACTTTATCATAAGCTTTCTCTAAATCAATAAATATCATATGCATATCCTCCTTATTCTCTCTATACTTCTCCATCGAACCTCTCAATAAATGTATAGCTTCCATAGTACACTACCTGGCATGAATCCAAATTGATTTTTATAAACACTAGTATCACGAATAACATATGTTCCATAACTCTCTCCCATAGGAAAAAACACCAACTGATAAAAAAATTATGATAATCATTTTGGGGAGGTTTTAGTAGAAAATAATATCCTAAAACAAGTAACTTATTAAAACAGAGTGCATGAGAATAATAACAAAATTAGGATGGAAAAAATGAAAGAAAACATTAGAATAATAGGAAATGGATTTACTTGGTTTGAGGAGGTTCTGCTATGTCCAAAACCACATGGAGAGGTAATTATCACTAGATCAAAGTCAAGTACAAATTACAATATTTACTCATAAATATTTCTCTTCACAATTACTCTCCCTTTTTTTTCTCTTATCTCAATCTCTCTGCTGAAACTCTCTTTCTCTTATTTAATCTTTCTTTTCTAGAAAATTCAAATTCAAATGGCCCCCAAAATCATAACGTATATTAACTCAAAAGATCGTCTTAAACAAGATAACAGATTAACTCAAAACCTCATCATTAACTCAAAATTCTCATAATATATGTTCCAACCCTAGCTATCTTAAATTTCTCCCTCGCATACGAGCCCCAACTGAATATCCTTCACCTCATTGTTAAAGCCCATAAACATCACAGTCGATGAGCCCACTGCCAACAACACCATCGACAATCTGAGTCTACTCTTTAATTAAAACATCAACCGGATTATGAAGCATCACACTGGTTCTCAAAGACTTTAGTCGGCTTCAACAATGCAGTTCCTTACTTTATACACTTGATGACAATCCCGCACAAACCAGCCACCAACCCAAATCACCATTGATCACTTGAAGATTAAAACCAGCCTCAATCTAAAACTCATGTAGAATAGAGAGATGATCCCTTGAAATCACATACAAGCCTCTTTTACATACAAATTTAGGAAGTAGGTGGGAAGCAGATTTGAGGAGATTATCAAGGCTTAAATTTACCTAAAGATAGGACAACAATTTTTACAAAATCTGTTCAAACCAGAAATAATAATTTTTAAGACTCTAAAATTTCCAAAATTTGTCCAAAATCTTATCCAAGTTTTTGCGGGATTTACTTAGAATATTAAACCAATGGTTGTTGAGGAGTTTATCCTCCGTGATTCAGCACAAGCTGTCAGTTTTATGACTTAGTTTTTAACAATTTACAGATTATATATATACAAACGAGCATTTCTACAACAACCAAATGCGTAAGACAAAAAAGGCAGGTTCTATATCAGCATTACCGATGAAATAGAATTATGTGATTATGAAATGCTTAGCTAACAAGTGAGCATAACTTCTCCTTTTAATAATATCCATTTTGTTTTAATAACAGCAGTAATTTCAAAGAAAGCTAGAGAATTCACGAAAAAAAAAAGTGAAACATCTCGATAAAATGCATTATTAAAAAAAATTATGAAATTGGTACAGTAGAATGCTATAATTGGGAATGAAACTTAGATGCAAATGAAATATATAGGTACAAAAGTAAGTTTTCTGTAATGCAGAGACTTATTTTTGTTAAAAATGTCCTGCAAAAACTGCAATGCATCTCACTGAAGTAAATAATCAATGGTAAAGTGTAACGTGGAAAGCATAATCAAATGAAGACATTAAACAATAGAGTGCTAGCTCATTAAAAAAAAATAATAATCCTAGAGAAGTTGGCCAAACTCTTATATCTAGAACTAGGGCTGCAAAAGAACCAAGTGTTCGACAAGCTACTAGTAGCTCAGCTCGATTACAGCTCGTTCAAGATCGTTTAAGTATTGAAATAAGGTTGAACAATTTTTAAAATAATCGACTATTAAATAAACAAACTTGCAATTTACGTGTCCGGCTTGTTTATGCTCATGAACAAATCAATTTAAGCTTGTGAACAATAAGAAAGCTCGATTATGTTACAAAACTAACCAGACCGGCCCAGGAGGGGCTGGTCCAGTTCTACAGGGGCTAAGCCGTCTCCTTAATTGGTTCGGCTAGTAGGTGGACCCACTTGAGGCAGCAAACAGGAGAGAGAGAAAGGGGCGGCTAATGCATAAGGAGAGTTTTTGAAATTGGTTTATGTTAGGAAGTTTTTTATTAGGAAGATTTGTATTTAAGGATGGGAGAGGCAAGGGTTAGGGCATGCAAAAATTTGGATTTCTCTTGGAGTCTCTTTGACGTCTTGGGCTCTAGACTTCTTATCTAGAGATTGGGAGAGAGAAAGATCCTCCTCTCAAATTGAGAATCAATTGAATATTTGCTTCATACTTGTTTTGCTTTGCTTTCTATAAGATTATCTATCGTTTGATTGTTCTTCCACCATATTTTCTTCATTTTTTTTCTCGTTGTTTTACCGATTATTGCTAGATTTGCTTGCGAACTCAAGTATTTCCCATTAGGGTTACTTGTGAACTCAAGTACTTCCTATCAAATTGGCATCAGAGCAAGTCCTGGGACCGGTGGAGGGCTATTTTTGGCAAATTCCAGCAGCTGTTTTTGGTCCGAAAAAGAGGGAAGTAGCTGTTTTTAGAGACCCAAATTCAGATTTTGTGAATCAACAAACTCCGGATAGTGATGACGGCCAAGAAGGTGGATGATTTGGAAGAAGGCTTGAAGGGGAGATGAATCAAATCAAGACAATGGTAGAGGAAGGGTTATGGGGACATCATATCAAGGAAGTATATCAGAGACGTGGCCGACGATCTACAGCCACGATCGCGCTGATCGATTTTTAATTCATCATATGTATTTGTTTTATTTGTTTGCATTATGTATTTGTTTTATTTGCATTTTCCATTTTACCCCTACTTAAGGGTCTAATCATATATAAGCCCTAGGGGCAATGAAGTCTTTTAATTCCCTTTCATTGTATAAGGCTATTTATATGCTCAAGATGTTTCTTTTTAAGTTAATGAAGAATTATAATGAAAATTTCTACAACTTTGTGTTTGTGAGAGTTTGAGAGCTTTGGAGAGGAAAACGGATCATCCACCAATCTTGGAAGCGTCCGAATTCGTGATTATTTTCTTCCCAATCTTTTCTTCTTCTTCCCTTCCCCTCCCTTCCACCGTATGGCCAAGGCCTTGCTCACAAAGCCTTCGGCCACCTCCCATCCTTCCCACGGTCGGCCAACCATAATCCACATCCCTTCCTACTCAGCTAACACCCCATCCTCCCCATCTCCACACCACCCAAATTCCCACCCCAACCCTAGCCTAGCCGCCAGCCTATTGATGCAATCAAAAATTTGGGAGAGGGACCCAAATTTTTTATCACAAAAATAAGAAACTTTCTAGAGAATAAAAGATTACAAGAACTAGACAAATTAAATAAAACAAAACACAATTTTAATATTATAAAAACTATTACAACTTGGACACTTACAAACGACTCAAATGACTCTTACAAATGACTCTTACAAGACACCTAAAGTTGCTTTCCAAGAGAAGAAGGATACAATGGAATGATTACTATGGAGAGAAGAAAGAGATTAGGAGACGAGACGAAGATTGGAAAGAGCCCGCAGGATTTCCGAAGGAGGTGGAAGAGGGAATGGACAAAGCTCGCAAGCTTTTCCAAACAATTAGGGTTACTTGCGAACTCAAGTATTTCCTATCAGATTAATATTTAATACCGAACTTGTGAATAAGCTCATTAAGAAATTCAATTAAGTCATGTTGTAAAAATTTGAAGAAATTATTTGAATGATTTACATTTATTATAATTAAAATTAAAATTAAACATCAATAAATAAAATTTATATTTTATTAAATATAATAATATCTAATTATTTAATTTATAGAAATTTGAATGCTAAAAAGTCCTTTTATGTTATATTCTTTCAATAAAATGAAATTGTTCATAAACAAAAGATTTGTTCATGTTTATTGAATTGTTTGTTAAAAGTGCTCATGAACAAGCTTGTTTATAAGAAGAATTATTTTGTGAGCTCATTTGTTCGTGAACGGGCTCGTTCGGTAGCTCGAAATCACTAGCTAGATATGTTTGTGAACAAGCTCATTTGGTAACTCGAAAACTCTCACTAAATACATTTTTGAACAAGATCTAGGTAAATGTTTGTTAGAAAACTTGATAATACTCGTTTGTTAAGCTAGTGAATATTTAGAAAGTAAAGGTTATTAATATCTCAATAAGGTTCATTTATTTAAAGCTCGATAAGCACAAAACAAATCAAATATGAATCAAACATAAATCAAACATGATCCTATCATTTTAACCAAACCAAATTTGAAAACAAATAGAAAAACTCGAATCAAGCTCAACTGAGCTTGAACAAGCTGCTCAAACATGAACAAACACCTATTTGGCTCCGCTGAGTTTGTTTGCAATCCTATCTGGAACTGAAAGAAATATTCATGGCTGGATAGCACCACAAATAAATGCAAAAACTAATTGAAGCAAGCATTTAAAAGAAAAAAGCTGATGGAAATAATTTTACAAAAGTTGCTAAAGCAAAAAGACATGATAATACTAACTTCCCAAAAATGCCACAGTTGATTATGCAAGCAACTCCAAAATGGTAACGAACAAAAGTCTGGCTGGCCTCTGTATGCTTCATAACCAATACCAATTTTGTTGCATTCAAGACCATCCAATGTAAAACGCACTCTCTCTAATAGCATCCACTTTGAGAAGTTTTTCCCGAGATTTTCCGGATGGCCTGCAGCACCCTTTAATAGAATAAATTTTAAGCTTGAACATGAAATAAAAAAATGAAAAATTTATTCTCCTTCAACATAAACATGAATTCCCAAAATGCTTATCATCAAGTTGTATGCTCGGCACCACACATCCTGTTTTACAATTCACAAATGAGAAAATAACCAACATAGTCCTTCAACTCTTTATGAAAGATCAAAGTAGTACCCAATTATATTAAAAGACAATTTGGTCCCTCAACTTCTTAAAGAGGAATCCAAATAGTCTCATCATGGGACTATTTTAATTCTTTTTAAAGATTTGAGGGACCAAAATAATCCTTTAATAGTTGAGGATAATTTTTGTCCTTAATAAAGGAGTCAAGGGACCATTTTTGATTTTTTCCTCATTCACGAATACATGTTTAAGGATTCACAATCTTTCCTTATTTATCCTGAGAATAATAAGGAAAAAAGAAAAAGCATCACTGTTTTCTCCTACACTTATCAGTTATCATGCTTCTTTTTTACTTTGTTAAGCAAATACTCATAACAGCAAACATTTGGGCAACTACAGAACAAAGCATAAAAATGGACTAGTGTATATCAACAAAAGAATAATGATAATTACATTAGGGTGGATAGAGTCACAGGATTTGTTAAGTAAATTATGCTCTTTTTCAAAGATGATGCAAAATGACTACAAAAGTTGAAACAGAAATTTCAGAATATGACGAAGTGGGTAAATTAACTTAAGAAGAATTTATTTAGAAAATAACGAGTAAAAAGTGATCAACGTACTAATCTTGGTGTAACAAGATAAAAGTCCTCGAATGAAGGGATACTTGTATAGCCAACAAAATCACCAACAAGATTAACTCTTAGAAAGTTGTCTCCTGATAGTACCGTTCTGTTTTCAGGGCCCATCACAACTTCCTGCAATCAAAATACTCCAGATTAAGTCGATAAAAATACTGACATCGAAAAGCAGTAGAGCAACAAAATGTGTCAAGGATTATAAAAAAGGTACAGGCATGGGCGGATCCCCAATCAGTTCAAGGTGGACAAATGCCCACCCTAAAAAAAAAATGTAGAAGAGGAATAATTTTAGACTTCTGCCCCCCTCAAAAATCAATGTTTGCCCAAATATTACCCATCTCTCATTGTTTGACCATCCAGCCGAATACCAAACCTTTCTTCTTCGCAAATCGTGCGTAGCCTTCGACATTCTACTTCATCCTTGCGGCCAGGGCAAAATGACTCCTCCCTTCTATGTTCGCGAAATGCCTCCTCCCTCCAGCCGAACCCCGACCTCCTGCCCTAGCTGAGCCAGCCTGCATGTCTCGCCGAACTCCCGCAGCTTGTGCGATTCAAGCCAAACAAAGCAATCAGTGCTTTCACATGGCGGGGCCGCTGGTCCCTTTTTCTTTTCTCTCGACAAGAAGGTATACTCGCTTTTCTCTCCTTAATCCTATTTCCATGTACATGCTCTGTATTCATTTCTGCTAATGTATTTCGCACATAGCTTGTTGCATATTATGATGCTAAACCATTTGATATATAAAGTAGAATGCAAAGTTTATAATTTTTTTTTATTTCATAAATTATAATGAAATACAATACTTTGCTTAGAGATTTTGCTAGATTGAATTATATACTTATTATATATATTATATATATATATGTTTTTTAATTTATATTTTTTTTTTTTTTTTTTTTTTTTGATTTCTTTTTGATATATTGAGTTGCTCACAGCCTAAAAAAGGTTGGATCCGTCCCTGGATACAGGGTGCCATATTTATAAGAATTAATGGTCTGACATCATCGACCAAGGGCACCATAATAATATACTACTTTTAAGATAAATCTTGATATCAAAAAAGTAACATAAAATCATGAACTATAAGGAAAATTAAACATATTAGAAAGATATATCAGCATCTTTCGTAGATAATTGCAATAAAAAATTGGTTTGCACATCAATTAGTCAATGACTTTATATTAAAAAATAAATTTATATAACCTAGAATACATCATTTTTTCTGTTTCATCAATGTCATCAAACAATTATATATAAATATACAACCTGAAATATGAAAAGTATTTTTAAATGAAAATTATGAATTTTTGAATTACTATTTAAACTAGAGTGTTTCGGCGTTGAGCTTGATAGCGCTATGGCACTAAGCTTGAGAGCACAGTAGCGCCGAAAATCACTACTGCGACATTTGAGTCTCTATTCTACAATAATTATGGATTCAACATGCGACGCCGCAGCATTGGGTCGGAGCGCTGAGTCAAAGCGTTGCAGCGCTAGGGCACTAACAATATTTTTTTAAAAAAATTTTCCTCAAAACCCCCTGCCACCCACATGCCACTACCTCAACTATGCTTTCTTGCCCAAAAAGAAGGGAAGGGAGAACAAGAGGGAAGGAGAGAAGAGAGACAATTTTTGGTTATCTTCGTCCATCATTCATATTACAAATTTTATTCTATTCGTTGAAAGTGACTAAACTCTTACTCATGTTATCGATGGTTTTGATTTCTATAGTTTTATCTCGATTAAATTTGTCAAAAATACATTATCTTCTAATTTCGTAAGTTTTTGACCGTGTAACTTTTGAGATGTTAAAGATTTGATTATTTTGAACAATTTGATATAATTTATTGCAATTTAACCAGTTAAATCGTGTTTATGTCTTTCTACGTGAAATGAGAAGGGAAAAAGTATATTGAAAATGAGTGAGAAGTAATGTACTATTGATATGATAATAGTGAAATATGATTGGGTTGAAATGATTGAATAATGTATTAACCTGATTGCTTAATGAAGTGATGCACTGATTGATATCAAATATATGAAATGCTAACCCCGCGCAATACCATCAAGATCCACTTGATTCAGTGATGGGATTCATAAGGAGCTGGAGACTGGTTGAGAATCATAAGGAGTCTGGGCGACTGTTCCAAGTGACTATGGATGGGATTCATAAAAAGTTCAGTGATTGGGAGTCATAAGGTGAGACTGATATGGTAGTCATAAGTGCAAGAGCAAGATCAAGATACAAGATACCCTCATCTAAACATGTGATATAGTGCATACTGATTATTGTTATTGATACTACTAGTATCTGTGTAATTGAAAAATATATTGATTACTAATATGATATTAATATTGATCATGTTACTGATATATATTGATTACGATTACTGATAGATATTATTATTGATATTGTTATTATAACGGATAAACTAATGTGAACTTATTAAATGATATAATTAAATAAAATTGATTGAAGGATAAAGATAGACTAACTGATTGAATAATTGACAGATTGATTGACTATTATTATGTGGAAGATTGGTAGATTGACTGAGATGTGATATATAATTGCCTAATCAATTGATATAGATAACTGGTAAATATAATATATATTGATGCATAGATTTTTTTATATAATTTATAGCATATTATTTCTCTTTTGTATTGCATTGATTTTAGTTGTAAGATTTTAGTTTACTTACGAGGCTATATGCTCATTATACAGTTTTTCACATGTTTATGGGAAAGGTTAAGGACCCTCTAAAGTGATACTCCGGACAGCCTGCATAGTTTTCCTATCTGCATGCTTAGTTTATTTTGTAGTTATAATGTAATGGCAGTATTAGGCTGGTTTTTATGAATCATGAGGACTATTGTATACATGATATTTTGGGCTTGTAATAATTGTACATATTGATGAATATAAATACAATGATATTTCTTTCCGTAGTTAAAAATGAATTTATATGCTCTGGTTAAATAGCTAAAAGAAAGAAAGATATAGTTTTTCCATTTTAAATTCTGGGGCATGACATATATGGAGATTAAAAATCACACAACCACTGCCAAACTATAAAAATAATGAATTCAACCAACTTACCAAAACTAGCATGAATCAAGCCAAATGTAGCTGGCTATGTTGTAAGATGTAATAGTAAAAACATAAATAGTAAGAAAGGAAAATAGATAAATTATAATGTAAGCAGAAAAAGTATAGTGTCGAAATCACTAAAAATAATGTCAATGCTAAACATTAAAGAGAGAAAAATATGTTGAATAAAAGTGTAAGTAAAAGCAAAAATCAAAACAAAAAAGAGAAAAGCTAGTACTCATAATCAAATGTTTACAAACTTATTGTTAATAGTTCATGAGTTAAAACCACGGTTTCCAAATCGGATCGGACCGGCTAGTCTAACCGATTCAACCGTGAACTGTTCTTAAGGCCAGTTGGATTCATCCTAAAAATAGTTTCTATATCAAATCGGGTTGAACTAAATTTTAGTTAAATAACTATGTTTAAATTTAAAATTACATAAGAGATTATTAATATATGAATTCAATTTATTTTTTTAATTAGAATATTATATTATTACATGATTATTTTATTATTTAAGTTTTATTTAAATAATTTTCATATTTATTACATCATTTGGTTTGAACCCTGAACCTCTCTTTCTGGTTCTATATCTGATCCGATTCTCACAACCTTGGTTAAAACAATATATGACTTATTTTGTTATGTATTCAAGATCGGCTACAAAACATGAATATATAATGTATATTATTCATATTTTTTATTTAATTAACTCGATTGTAATGACTAGCACTCGTCATATTTATTAGTTAATAAAAAAAAATCAAACTTCAATATAAGTTAAAATTAATAAATAATTATTAATTATGCTTAAGCATTATTATCTTCAAATTAAAGTGTTGACTATATTTATTTAAAGTTGTTATGATATAACATCTTTTTCAAGTCTCTGATTAAATTTTATTGTTCTATCAAGTGCTCATGTTTCACGGTCATGCAAATTCCAATCTAGGTTTAAACTCACTTAAGTAGGCAACCATAGGCAATTGTCGATTAGGGTGACTTGAAGTGGCTGAACTCAAAAGCGTAGAATGAAAGGTGGAAATAATGAGATGCAAAATTTTGAAAATAAGATATGGGAATTAAGAGTGGCCTAGATTAGTAATAAACTAATATGTAATATATTGCTATTAAATAAGTAATTAAGCATGTCATATTTAACTAGATTTTAGTTAAATAATATATAAGTTATCATCAAGGATAATATTAAACCTTTGACAAATTACTTAATAAACAACAAGTAAGGTTTTTTGTAAATATAAATAAATGATTTTGATTTTATTCAAGCTTAGTTCTTTTAGCCTTAGAGTTTTAAGAAAACATTCAGACTTGTTTAATTATTAACATGAACAAAATTGGACGGATATAGATCGAGTCGAGTTTGTGCTTTTCATTGAGTACATTAGTTCATTTACAGGCCTAAAATTGTGAGTTTCTTTTCAAAGTCATGGAATAATATATTTTTTATAAAGCTTGGATGTGGTAGCTGTAATGAAAAATAACTTAAGTTCATTGACTTGCAAAGTTTAGATAAAATTTTTAAGAATATATAATAAATATTTATAGCAAATCCTAAGTAATACATTTCAACTTTGTAATCAAAGTTGGCACAAAATTTATCTCCACATCTCAAGACCAAGAAGGAAAACACCATACAAAATTAGGCCTTTATTATAGCATTTTGGGCTTGAAATGGACTTCGCTAAGGAATTTCTTGTCAAAAGATGGCTCAATGATGGCTAAAGCCATCCTGACCTATAACTCATAGATATTGATATTTTGATATGGCCCACCAACCTAAACTGAAATTAAAAGCTATGAATATGATCTTTAAATTAAAGTTAAACATCAAGGCTTACCTACGAACCTAAATCAGAAACATTATGACCTACATTAAAGGGGGGAGGTTAGCTCATCATAGATATGATCGTGCATCTCCATTATGACATGCCTCCACCCATTCATTAAATGGATCAAAATAATTGTCGGATTACATAATTTTTATGTGGTCAAGTTTGGGTCAATGGCATGAGTTGTTTACTAAGTCTGAATCGAGTCATAAATAAGTTCACCTAAATCCAACAAACAGGCCAGAATAGACAACCCTAGCGCCTCCTTAATAAATAAATTGATCACACATGATTCCAGCATATGATTACCGATTAATACTAAGAATCATTTAAGAGAAAAATTGAATACCTAACCTTATATTATAGCATAATTTCAAAACTAAGTCGGCCCTTCCAATCAAACGATCCAAATTGAGGCTAGGCTGAGTGTGTGATTGGATTAGCAATGATTATATGCTAATAAAGCCTGAATTGGTAGCTTTAATTTTTTTTTTCCTAAACCATACAACTCGATGAGCCTTGGATTGAACAATAGACAAACAAAGACATAGGATATGCCTGATTAGAGTCACAAATATAGACAAGAATTCCTACAGCAGCTAGCTAAGGTATTCAATTCTTGGAACAAGAACGCATTTCATAATCCATGACAATTATGATAGCCAAAAATTCCTATTCATTATGGCCACAACTTTATTTACTAAATAAAAATGGAGGACCAAGAATAACAGATCAACAATCAGGACAAAAGTCTTACCAACTACAAAAGTCTTACCAACTAAACTGCATGTCGATAGAACTCGCAACATTTTAAAGACAAATCAACCCTCGTACTCAGCATCCCCAACAACAAACAAAAAAAAAAAAAAAAAAAAAAAGCAATGAAGGGGGTCGCTTAACATTATAATTTTTTAGTATAATTAGTATTATCTTCCTTTTCAATGTACTTACAAGTTAGAGGATCCCAGAAGGGCTGTTAAGTAATGAGAGTTGATGATATTTTGAAGGTGAAAAAGAATTAGTTATACACTAAATGGCGTTTTAAAGACTCATATTAAACAGACTACGTTAAAAAAATTAAGGATATTACTCCCATATTAAAAAGAAAATTGTGAAACATATATAAAGTCCTAGGCGGATTAAATGAAAAGCGTCACTGAGCCTGTGGACAAAGTAATAAAATGAAACTTACTGATACAGAAGAACCTTTTCTCACTTCAATCCGGATATTAAATCCAATCGATCTCTTTCCAATGCCAAAAACATGAAACCTTTTAGAGAAAGAAGATCAGTTAGCTTATTAAAAGTACGTTTTGGCTAAAAAGCCACAGAAATCCATAAATTTCAAGATTTCAATCCAAAGTAATGAAAGCTTGGACTTTAACACTTTTGCAATTGTGGTGTCATTTATATGCATAAACAAACATTGAAGAACAAAATCACTCATTAAAAGAAGCAACAACATTATAAGATATTTACTCAACATTAGTTTCAAAAAAGAAGAAAAATCATAATTTGAAACACCAAATACTGAAACATTAGAGAAATTCAAAAGTTGAAAATATTTATCTAGCAATATTTTAAATTCAAAAACGAATATGGTAACTAAAACATACAACTTGGATGTTAATAAGCATACCAATCACCGGGGAAACGAAGACAGTGTGCAGTATTTGCCTTCCCTTTCAGCAATTTATCAACTATTTAACATTTTAAGGTATAGTAAGAAAATTGTAAATTAGCAAGAATAATAAGTACGATACATTGGAGACCATAGGTTCAAGCACTCACAGATGTTCCCACAAGAGGAAGGTACACGACGACTTGGCCCACAAGGACAGCAAATTGGCTGTTACGATGAGCACAAAAAAGTTATGTATTAATACTTGAGAAAAATATACCCATGCACTGTAAATTCATCACACATACCCATTTATTCTCTTACTAATCCAACTGAACATATAAAAGTGCTAAGAAAAACACACAATAGAGATGAGTAATGTCCAATGCTGCAATCTAGAATATCCCATTCTGCGGCATCCAACTAACTTCACATTCCTACCGCCTACTGCCATTTTCTTTTATATTTTTACATTAGCTATTACAATTTTGATGCTGGTATTATGTTCAATGATGTCTAAATGAAAGGGAACACATATCAATGGTAAGCAACTGCTAATAAAAAATACTAAAAAATTATTCTATCCTAAGAGTGTCAATAAATAACCTGACAGGACAATCCAACTCAAAAAATTTAGGTTTAAATTGACTTGATTTATTCAAATTAGGTTTATGCTTAAATTATGGATCCAATTATTACTCAGTTTAAATTCAGGTAGATCCAAATAACCCAAAACAAACATGAAATTGGCCTAATTATTATTCGGTTTGAGTTAGATTGGTTTGGGACAAGTCAGGTTCAGGTCAAACATCTTTACCCATAAGATAAGATGATCAAGTTCGAATTAAGCAGTTTCGAGTCGGATAAACATCCAATCAATCCAAAACCCGATCTATAAAGCCGAGAATTGACACCTCTATTTTATCATTAATCTTGGCTTGTTGAGCATAATACAAGAAAATTATTAGCCTATAAAGTTAGTCCATGTCACTCAATAGCCTTGGCCCAAAAAGAAATTCTTCTAGCTTGCCAACAATTTTTACATGAAAATGAATTATGCACTAACTCAAAACATGGCTGTGTAATCAATGCTAGCATGACTTTTGAACTTAGAATCATTTTAATTTTTTTGCAAATTCCCCAAAAAGAAAAAAAAAGTGTGCGCATCCAAAGGGAGTTAAAGAAAAAGATAGAAAACTGAGTACATCCTAAGGGTGATCCCTGTATTAGTTTTGTAATATTAGACTCTTCTTATCACACTCAATTAACTTGAGCATGTAAGATTCTCATATTAGAAGCAAACACCCCCAACATAAGTTCTTGACTGATTATTTTCAAGATGCAACGTGAAGAGGTATGCATCCACCTTGATTATCCCAGTATGTGAGGTTTATCCAGCATGCAACAATAGTAGAAAAAAAGTTATAATAAAATTCCCCTAACAATCATTTCTAAAGGATTGCCCAACTCCCATTTGAACTCTACTTGAAAAAAACATACAATAAGCCAACAACACCAACCTACTTTACAAATACATATTTCATCAATGCCAAAGCTACACTTACCATTTGTTTATGAATAGCCAGTTGAAGGAAATACCAAATTAATTTGAGAGTCACCAGTTGAGAAAAGATGAGCCATAAATACGGAAAAAGGAGCACATTGGTTGTAGAAATAGGAGAAGGCAGATAAGAATGTGTGGAAAACTTGTTAGAGCAAAGTGTCAATGATGCGGACATCGGTACGAAAATTTGACGCATAGGAGGCGTCGTAAATCGACGGCTATGATTTAAATCTTCAATTATGAGTTATTTTTCTGAATTTTAGTTTTTATTTGATGTATTTCCTGTTTTACCCCTAGGTTGGTTTATGTGAGTGTTGTGACCCAAGGGGCAATTTTGTATTTTGAGTTTTCTTATGTTGTGGCCTATATATAGGGCCTTAAGCTATTGTAATAGGGATGGATTATTGATATATAAAAACAAATTTGTGTTCCACACTTGTGTTCTTTTGAGAGAACATTAGTGAGATTCCTATGGGAAGGAATCGGAGTTTTCACTAGCCGCAGGATGGGTCCGGGCTCATGACTTGAAGTCCCTTGGAGAAGGGCAAAGCATCACCCGTCAGTCTTCGGAAGAGTCCAAGGCTCGCGGATTTTATCTTCTATCTTTTGTTTTTATCTTTTGTTTTTGTTCCCTTTTATTGCTTCTAGTCGTCATCTTCATCTTCTACCTCCGTCCACCATCGTCGTCTCCATTCCTACCATAAGCAACCGGCCACCTGTCCAGAAAATCCTCCCCACCGCCAGCCAAGGCTCCCTAGCCGCCGGCCACCTCACCCCCCTCATCTTCCCATGGCCGTGTCTCCTTCCAATTTGGGTTGGCAAAATCGAGAGGGAAAATCCATGATAATTTTGGATTTCAAATTTCAAATTTGAAATCTTTCATAATTGGGTTTGATCCATATTTGGAAGGTTTTAACTCTCCAATTCAGAATTCAAATTTGAATTGCAAGGAGATGAGTCATTAATCCCTCCAAATTAAATTAGCCTTGTTTGGAAACCCCTCATTAATCTCTCCTTAAATTCCCATGTCCCTTAATGCCGCCGGCTCCCTCCTGCTTGATTTTGAAATTATTTCCTAAAACCTCCACTTTGTTTTAGGAAATGATTTCAATTTTCCTCAATCTTTGCTGGCCGAATTTTCCCTAGGCCCCCATGTACTAATTTATTTCCTAACTCCACGTAACAGCTTAGGAAATAAATTCCCTCTTCTTTCCCCTTATCCCACAAGTGCAGCCAATCACTTGGCCGAATTCCTTTAAACTTTAATTCTTAATTTACTCCCATTAAAGGAATTAGGAATTAATTAACCTCCACCTAAGCCCCTCTACATCCCGCCAGCTAAATCACTGGAATTTCCTAAAGGCTCCATAGCTTCTCTTTGGGAAGAGCTTGGATTTCAACCTGCTGCGGGCTGAAATTTCCCAAGGCCTCATATTGGGTTGCCACTCTTCCAAAACCCCCTTCTCATCCGGAAATCTTCCTAACGGGATGGCTGTCCAGAAGTTCTGGAAATTGGTAGACTTCTGCCCACTGATTTCTGCACCTCCCCACCGGCTGATTATAGGAGAGGAGGTTTGGAGCTTGAAACCTCTCTCCTACCAAGAGAAAATCTGAGATTCTTCTCAGGTTTTGGGCAAAGAAATCAAAATTTCCTTCAGATTTTGAAGAAGAGATCCTCTCCTTAGCAAAGCCTCCTACCCATTCTACATCAGTCAAAAACAACAACAAAGTGTCAAAATGACTATAATAGGCTAATGTGAGCTAACAACTATTGAGGAACAAGATAAGGAACCATAATTCAGATATTTGGTGAATAATGTAAAACGAGAGCTAAAGTTAACAATGTACCCAGTTTGTGACCTAGCTTAGGCAGAATGAAAATCACATGCAAATTTAAAAAGGGAAGAAGAATTTGGTAAGCCAACCCAAAACAGCTAGAATTAAATCATGACAATGAAGATTATGATGGCACAATACCATATGAATTAATCATTTCGGGAACAATGAAACCTCTAGTACATTTATACAGAAAAAAAATTAAAAGCATTTTAGCATCTGCACAGGGAGTAAGCGACCATCTGTGGATGGCTGTGCTTGGCATTCCATATGTTTCTAAAAGATAATGTAGCATTTAAATTTTCAGGTTCAGAAAAAGATTCTGATATCAAATGAGCATGCATACATAAATAACTACATCATATATCCGTGAATTTTACTGTCATTCATCATCAAATCTCGCGCGCGCGTGTGTGTATATATATATGTGAACTCAATTGTTTTGTTGGTATGTTTTTGTTCTCTTGTTTTTTATTATTGAATTAAAAGCTGGATACCTAGCCTGCACTTCAGTCAGGACTTTTCATGCTTACATCTCATGTATGACACTTATTCTCAATAATAAATCTTTTATGTCTTTAATTAATTTTGCTTCATCTAGTCGATATCGTTCATGATTAAGAGATAACCCACAACAGGTTGAAAAGACAATTCTTTCCCTTTATGAGACATGGATGTCATTCATTCTCCACTTGGCATCCAACTTATTCTCTACCAAAAGTAGGCAATGAATGTATCCATCTAAACCATTTCACTGGACTTGTGTTTCTGAGTATAAGTTTTGATAAGAATGAATAGAAGCATGAATTCGTAAGTACATAAATAATCTTAAACAAAATATAAGAATATAAAGAAATACTTGCCTCTGTATGCTCAATTATGTGACCATCTTGATCCCGCAGCCTAACAATATATGCGTACCATAAGTGACAACTAAAAAATCATATGAAAGAAGAAAAGCCACATGTAAATGCAAAAGTAGCTGCTTGAAGAAACTATTCTCTATAAAAATGAAAAAGATTGCCCAAGGATTTATGCCTGTACTGATGATTTTGCAAGAGAAAGAGGATTATTAGGGCTTTGTCTGGATTGAAGGAAAGTGAGAGATGAAATGAAACTCCAACAATTTAATATTTTATTTTGAATCCCAGCTATTGATTGAGTTTTTAATCGCAATTTTAGAACATGGCCTAAAGATTCTGGACGTAAGAGCATTCTTTACTGATATGCTTGTTACAAAAACAATTAATTATGTTATCAATTTGCTACTCTAAATATGATGTGGGGATCAAGACAAGAAGATGATTAATTAGATTGTCCAAAATTTAGGCATCAGATCATGAAGAGATCAATTTCAAAATAGCCCTGCAATTATTTATATATGTTTATTTTAATCTTAGAGTATAACGTTGCTTTAATTTAGTCCCTCGACTATACAAAATTGATTCAAGAGATCCCTCTGAGACTAAATTGGGATCAATTTAATAAAGTCAATGAACTAAATTGTGATCAATTTATACAATAAGATTGACTATTTTAGATCAATTTTGTTTAGCCAAAGAATTAAATTGGGCTAACGTGATTCTCTGGGACCAAATTGGTCATACATCAATAATATGGGGACTATTTTGGGATTTTTCTGAAAAGGCTTGGGATCATTGACATTTTGATAGCCCTCTCTATGGGTGAAGCTATCAATGGTCATGATTCCCACTTCCCATACAACATTTTGAGATTCAAGATCAACTCAAAAGTCCGTAGTTGACGGACAATCTTCGGTAAGGATGCCTAATGATAAAGATAGCCATGAAATTTGATCAAGAGGACAGCAAGAATGACTTGTTGGCCAATTCAAGGAGACTTATATATTTAATCAAATCTAGATATGAATTAATCTGACTTTTTGAATAGGATAATGTTTAAATTCATATTTAAGGACTGTTTATTTTGTGGAGTTAATCTAGGATGAATAGAATTACATTAAAATTTAAATTCCCACAATAGTTGCCTATTCATTTGCTTGAATCTTCCTATGTAATGAATCCCTAATTTTCCTCCTAACCACCAAACTCCCCAGCTCTAAAAACCATCGATTCAGACCAAACCAATGTTTCTTGCTTCTTTTGAGAGCCCTCAAGTATCCTAGGTACTTAATGCTCCCTTCTGTAATCTGCAACATTGTCGTCTCCCATGCACCTTGTTACCATCGCCTCTAGCTACTATCCACAGCACTGTCCATGACCTACAATGAATATAATCCAACTCCTAATTGTTGTCTAAGAGTCGTTCTAGTTTCTTACTGTGGACTTTACATCATAAAGTTAAGAGGTTGGCATCAAATCATGACCTCTAGTTTTGATGAATCTATAAGAGAATATCTTATATATTAAGGATACTGACAACAACAAAAACTCTCAAACAAAGAAAAGGTCTAAAATGGTCTATGACTTGCATTTTAATCACAAATTATATAAAAAGTTAAATTTAGTCCCTTAATTCATTAAAGATAAGTTGAAATAATCCCTTAGTCAAAAGTGATGAAAAGTGAAGTTAAAGTTAACATATGCAGTTGAAAATGAGGGAATTTTAGGAATGTATGTCTTGAAATTTTCACAATATCTTTTTTTTTTCCTTACTTATTTCCTCGTATACAACAATCAACTTCGCATACATCAGGGGTGGATTGAGATCATGTAGATTGTGGAGCAACATGATTTTTATAATAAATAACTTCGTTTTATATTTTTTATCTTGATTACATTCCACAGTAACGAATAAATCAAGTTTAATTTCATTTTTGAATATTAAAGTTCTGATTTTGACAATTTTATTGAATTTTTTTTTTTTTGGGCTATTTGGTTTGAAGTGGGTGTAAATTAATCATTTTATATGGGTTTCGAAATTATTAGTGTTTGTTTGGATGAAAAATGAATGCAAAGTAAAATAAAAGGAATGTTGTGTAAAGTATTTTAGTCCATTTTTGAGGTCAAGTTGACTCACCCTTTTTGAGCAAAAATCATTTTCACCGTAAATAATCTCTCTTGTCGCCGTCGCCAACTGGTCTTCCCCCTACCTTGCGGTTGTTGGTTGCTGGCCACCACCAATTGCCTCCATCATCTTTAGACTTTACACTACATTCATTTACTTCAAAAAAAAAAAAACATTCACTTGCATTTATTTTACACTCATCCAAACAACACAAAAATATTATTTTTACACTACATTCCTTTTAAAATGCATTTTCTTTTCAACCAACCAAACAACCCCTTAGTAATAATAAAGTTTGACTCAATGTATGCCTTTATGATAGAATTAACACAAAAAAAATGCAAATAAAATTATTCATTACAAAGATCATCTCACACCACAACCTACACAATCTCAACCCACTCTTGCTTCATGCAAAGTATGCTATTGTACATGAGGAAACAAGGTAAATCTATCTGTTAATTTTAGCTTCAATTTTTATAACTTTTGACTGCATATGTATTTTGTCCCCTATTTAAAGAGTCTTAGGACTAAATTAGACTTTATATATAGTTTGAAACTAAAATGACCTACACGAATATCGAGAGACCGTCTTGGTCAGTTTTTTTCTTAAATATTTCAATGACTAATAAATGTTATGACCAGAACCTTCAAATATTGCTTCTTTTACTCAACCTTACCACCTATGCTTAATAACCCAACACAATGATGACAAAAGCCTTCCAAAAATAATGATTATTCAAGTAATAAATACAAGTACACAAGGTATAGCAATGCAATTCATAATGACCACTAGAGAAGGTACCTTTCACAAATTTTAACCACACTTGAACTAGCATCAGGCTCACATTTCCTGGTTTCTACGTAAAACTCCTCCGGTTTATAAGCAACATCCTGAAGAAATATGAAAAGTGCTGTTAGCTAACTAGACTGGAATAAAGAATAGGCAATATTTTGATAAAATTTTATGAAGCAAAAAACACTTCTAAAAGGTCATTGTACCATGCTGGATATTTATGCATTTGGGATGCCAGAGTCAAACATGCAATTTGGTTCCACTCATTTTGCTATTTTTCTATAAAATTTTGGATACTTCTTTACATGTCACAAATACTTGATGGACTACACAACCTACTCTACTTTAACTCAACTATCTACAAAATCAGTATCATATTAAATTAACATACTCATTTTCCTATTTATAAATCTCGCAATATTATTTTCACTTGAAGTATTAAATTTTCCTGTAAGGGAACCTATATTCCAAGTTCCTATCCTAATTTTAGTTTCATGGACTAGCTTCTTTTTTAAATCTATGAATTACTTTTTCTCCATAGAGTTCCTATTAAGAGTCAAATTCTCATTTAAATCTAATAAAAAAAAAATTTTTCTAATACTTTCTTATCAAGTCTTTTTTAAGTCTACATCTACCTTTCTTAACATAAGTCAGATCTAATACATCTACTCTCCTAACCAGGTTATCGAACATGCTACTGGACATCCAATGTTTTATGTGACCAAACTATCTAAGGCAACTCTCTAAACTTCTCTGCCATTGGACTTCAACCTTTTTACATATATACTCGTTTCGCATTATATCTCTAAGTGTAAATCCACTCATCCACCTGAGCGTCCCATCTCTGCAACACTTAATTTTATGTTTTTCTTTTAATGGTCAATATTCTGCACCATAAAGCATTGCAGGTCTCACCACAATCTTATAGAATTTTTCCTTAAGTTTAAGGGGTACTTTTCTATCATACAAGAAGCACAATGCATTTCTCCACTTCAACCATCCAACTTGAATTCTACTAATAATATCTCCATCTATTTCACCATCACTTTAAACAATATATCCAAGATATCTAAATGTGTACTATTATTAATGACTTGATCACCCAAAGTCACAATCCCCTAGTAAATCTATTACTACTAAAATTACAATTCGTGAATTCAGCTTTAGAACCACACAAACGACAACCTTTAGACTCTAAGATTGACCTCCATAATTTTTGCTTTCCGATATGATAAAATAAATTGATTATTCCATAATTACTTCATTTAGTTAATTATACATGTCTTCATAGAAACAAGCATGCATATAGCATCTATGCATCGTCTCATGTACATTTCCCATGTTGATATGATTCTCTGTCCGTGGAAATGTCAAAAGAAGTTGCTATAAATGCTAATTTCAATAAGCCAGGTTGTCTAAAGCATATATATGGTTAGGCGACTTTGTGGGTTGTATGTTTCTCACGTTAGGGCACATGCTTCATGGATGTGGTGGCCCTTGTTTGAAATGTAAAATAGTCGATGGAACACACATAAGTTAGTGAAATTGGAACACACAGAAGACTAAATCTAAATCATATGAGTTCAGCAAAGTTAGGTAAATTGGAAAGCACATAAGACTATAGGATTAACCACTTCTTTCAAATTACCTGAAATTAAGTAAATAACTCTCTTTTTTTTGTTGCATCCCACTATTAATGAATGGCATGTCATAATTCAATGAAGACAATGATGAACAAAATTGGCAATGCGTTCGGCAAAGAAACAAAGAATAAATATGCAATATGAGGCTCGTCTTGATGCCGGCCTCAGCGCGATTCCAATGAAAAACACATCGAGGCTTACGCCTCAAACTTTTTTTATGAGGCTTGCGCCTCAGCTTGGCTAAGGCCCGCCACGCCTCGCTAACATAAGGCTAACGCCTCACCTTATTTATATATATTTTTATTAAAACTGTTAAAATCCCAGTTGTTCCCTCTCGAAGGAGATCCAACGACCACGAAGAGCGATCCGTGGGAAGCTCGCAAGAATCACGCAAGATCATATTGATTCCTTTCCAAACTGAAGTAGTTAATTTAGGAAGGAATGTATTAGGGCTATTATGCATGAATCTATAAATATTTGTTTCTTAATTTAGATATCTTGTATAGATCTATAAATAGGGAAGAAATTGAGTAATGAAATATGGTTTTTCCCTCTCAAACTTCTGTAATATATGTTGTACTTTTAATTTCCTTGTACTTTTAAATAAACAAGCTTGAACATTTGCTAATTTATTATATTACATCGTTAGATCTTATTCATTTGATAGCTCAAGAATACTCGTTAGATTTGTTCATGAACATGATTGTTTGATAGTTTAAAAAAATTAGCTAAATATGTTCACAAACAGAGCTCGTTAAGACTTGTTTGTTTAAAGCTCGATAAGCATTAAACGAAACAAACATGAACACCATTAATTTAAATGAACCAAACATGAACACAAACAATAAAACTCGAATCAAACACGAACTGGACTTGAACAATTAATAATAAACAAACACAAATATGTACACTCACATACTCGACTCGGTTCAGTTCGTTTGCAGCCCTAGCCAGAGCCTTACCAGACGGAGCCCGAAGCCGGAGTCGTCAAAACCACGAGAAGGACAGAACCGGAGCCCTGCGAAGACGAAGCTCGTCCGGACAAAGCCAGACAAAGAAAAAGTGGAGCCCTCGCCAACGCCCTCACACCGACATTGCCCTCAAGCCAACGCTGGAATACAGACGGGACGAAGATGGGAGCGACTGGCATGCGGAATAAGGCCGATATCCCGTTCCCTAGCTGCTGCTCTGTTAAACCGAGAAGAAGGCTCGGTTCAGTTCATTAAACCAAAGAGAGATGAAAAAATTCCCCTCCAATCTTTTTCGACAATAAAGACTGATATATATAACATCGGCCTTTATTGCTGATATTACCTAATCTGTCTTTCTTGTCGATATAATCATCCTTTGTTATTGTTCTATCACCAGAATGTCTAAGAAATCATCTCAGAGCTTTGATCAAATAGAAGATTCTATGATACACCAAGAACGAGGTGATCTCCAAAGTATACAACCTTCCTATCGCCTAAATGGGAAGAACTATCTAAAGTGGTCTCAATTTATAAAGACCTACTTAAAGGGAAGAGAAAAAATACACCATCTCCTCAAAGGAGGATCAAAAGGAGGAGATCCTAATTTTGGGCCATGGGATGAAGCAGACTCCATGATTATGTCAAGGTTATGGAATTCCATGACTCCAAAAATTAGCGATACATTTATGTTCCTCTCCACTGCAAAAGACATATGAGATGGCGCCAGACAAACTTTCTCAAAAGCTCGGGATGCTATCTTTGAAATCAAAATCAAAGGAGCATAAAACAAGGAAGCAAGACCGTGACAGAGTATGCCACCCTTCTACAAAATCTATGACAAGAACTTGATCACTATAGATGCATAGAAACCAGATGTCCAAAAGATGCTGCAATCCTAAAGAACTTTATTGAAAAAGATGAAGTTTATAATTTTCTTGCATGATTAAATGCAGAATTTGATCAAGTCAGAGTCCAGATCCTTGGCAAAGAGGAGACGCCATCACTAAATGAAATAATTACTCTCATCCGCGCTAAAGAAAGCCGGCGAAGTGTAATGCTAGAACCAAAATCTATTGAGAGCTCAGTAATGATGACCAAAGAAGCTCCATGGAAGAAAAAAGGTAAAGATTCCTCAAAATATAAAGATAAAAACTCACTTTGGTGTAGCTATTGCAAGAAATCAAGACATATGAAAGAAACATGTTGGAAGATACACGGAAAGCCCCCAAGGAGTGGAACCAAAGAAGTGAGAAAAGAGACACATCATACGCCAACACCATGCAAGTCAGCATAACCCAGAAACACCAACCAGCTTTAAAGAACTCAATAAAGAAGACATTGACAAACTAAGACAACTTCTGGTATCCCTTAAAAAATCACATGCATCTTCCTCTCTTGCACTTTCAGGTAAGTTTCTTATATTCACTGGATTAAGTATCACCAGAAATCACATAAAAGGAATATGGATCATTGACTCAGGAGCCACATATCACATGACAAACTCCACCACCCACTTCATCAATTATAATTCTTGCTCAAGTGACAAGAAAATCATCATTGTTGATGGTTCTCTTGCCACAGTAGAAGACCAACGAAATATACCTTTATCCCCTTCCCTTACTCTAAAAAATGTGCTCCATGTACCTCAATTATTCATCAATCTTATATCCATACAAAAACTTATCAATGACCATAATTGTCAAGCACTACTTAACCCTATCTATTGCTTATTTCAGGACAAGGGATCGGGGAAGAAGATTGTACTTGCTAAGGAGAAAGATGGATTGTACTACCTGGAAGAGCTGAACAAATCTAAAAATAGCTACTTTATGTTATCCCTTGTTGACAAAAAATATACTATTTGGCTTAATCACTTCATATTAGGACATCCATCATTAGAGGTTCTAAAATATATGTATCCTAAACTTTTTTTATAATTTGAAAAATAAATATTTTCATTGTGAAATTTGTAAATTAGTCAAATATAAAATAACCTCTTTTCCAAACAAAAATGATAGATGCAATACTCCCTTCTATCTCATTCATAGTGCATATGGGAACCCTCAAAAATCTCCAACATCTCTGGGGCTCCTTGGTTTGTATCTTTCATTGATGATTGTAATTGGGCATCTTGGATTTATCTCCTCAAAAATAAATCTAACGTTAGCACCATTCTTCCCATTTTTCACACTATGATCCAGAATCAATTCGGGATAAAAATAAAGAAATTTCGTTCAGACAATGCTAAAGATTACTTCAACCAAACCCTATACCATTATTTTCAGAGTGAATGTATCATCCACGAATCCTCCTATGTTCACACCCCACAACAAAATGGGATTGCAGAAAGAAAGAATGGCCACCTCCTAGCATCCACTCGCGCCTTCCTACTCCACAATATACCAAAATCCTACTGGGGAGAAGCCCTCCTAACTTCCACTTACCTCATAAACTGACTACCTTCAAAAACCTTGGGAGTGAAAG